TTTTTTGTTTATGATTTTGTCACTTATATGGTAGTAGTTATCAGTTAAGAATTACTGTTTTTGTGATTTTATTCTTTTTGTACTACCTGTTTTTTCATGGTCTTGATGGTTACAGCTCAAGATTTTTGTAATTACTAGTTGTTATTTTGATAGAATTTTTTTTTAGTTACTAGACATTTCCGATACACAGTTTAATTGGTGCTTTTTTTGCAGATTCATATTTCCTCTTCCCAAATTGTGGCTTGATTTATAGTTGCTAGATTTAAAAAGTTTATAATTGAATATAACTTGTTGGAGATTATTTTCATATTTTTATTGATTCTATTAATTTCTCAGCTATATATCTTGATGATTGTATTTCAAACTGCATGTGTAGTCGGTATAAGAAATTCTGACTTTATTCATTTGTAAATATTCTTTTTTTTTTAATTTTCTATAAATCTCTAAGCGATTTATAGATGCGCTGTTTTGTGCTAATGGATTGGTCTAAGCAATCATCGTTATGAAACAAATATTGTAAATTTTAACAATTCTTCACATTTTTATTTTTGAACTAATTTTAATTGTCATTTAAATGTTTACCTCTGATAATTTTTTAATTATTTTAACTACAAAAATAAGGGTAGATTGAAATATTTTCATTAATTTTGATGTGTAATAGTATGCATTTTTTATTTTAAATTTAGCAGTATGCATTTCTTTATTTTAAATGTACTTCTATGTTTTTATTTTCTCGCATTAATGTATTTGTTATGAATGACAGGTTGCAACATTTTTTTTTTCTCTATGGAAAATTGTCTTTGCTCTCTTCATCGAAATACTTTTCCATGTTAGGCTAATTATTTGTTGTTATATTTGAAAATCAGAGTCCATTGTTTATAAGAATTTGTTCTAGCATGACGGTGAGAGTTTAGGTTTTATCTAATAATATGTTTTTTGTATTGTATTTTTTTTTGTATTTCTGAACATTGTTTATTTTGCATTATTTTTTGTACTTTTGAACATTGTTTATTTTGCTTGTTTATTGCTTACAGTTCGTATTATTTTTTTTTTTCAAGCACAGCTATTTATCACAGCGTAATTTTTTATTTTGAAAAGTTTTCCTAGGGTACTTTTATTAAATTCATCTCCTCATAAGTTATCCCTAAACTAGTAATTATAGTTTTAGTTTTTAAAAGGGCTGTAATTTTGAGTGTAAGAAATATTTTTAGTTTTATTTGATAACAATTCCTGTACATATTTTGTTGCTTTACTTATTGTATTTGAGATTTGGACTATTTTTATCAATGTTCCTTTTCATAAATTCTTTCTTTTGTTTCTAGCAGTCAGCTATGATATTTTCTTATATGCCATGTATGGGTTATTGATTGTTTTATTTTAGCATTTTTTGACAGAAATACCACGAAAATGATTATGCAAGGGAATAGGTTTTGCTTCTCGGTGACTGGTTCGATTGCTTTTTTGTTTTCTATGATCTTGGACTTTAGTTTTATCATTGAGAATTTTGTTTTTTATAGCTTATTAATTCATGTAGGTTTTCATAGCAAATTACTGTAAATCACTATCAAACCGGATGAAACGAAAAATGAACGAAATGTGTAACTTTTAACTGTTCTAATCGTCTAAGTTATCCATTTGAATTACCACTTTAATTAATTCATCGGTGTGTTGTTTCATTTCTGTTGTCTCTTGTTTATTTAGATCTTTATGCACAATTAATTTATTACTTTTCTCATTTATTATTTCATTCTTTTTAAATATTCGGTTTTTTATTACTTCCTTGTTTTGTTTTTTTTTTTTTTAATTTCCCTTATTCCAGTGCATTCGTTTTATTCATCACTTAACTTTTTTTTGTCATTGATATTGCTTTTTCTTCTAATTTTATTTACATATTTATTATTCACTTCATCGTTTCCTCTGTTTTATTTTAATCCTTAAATTCATTTACTTGTACAAACAATTTTGCATTTTAGCCCTCTTCATTTGAGGAATTTGAAACATTTAATTGATTTCTTTAATGCAATTTTTCGTCTGTTTTATCAGTATTTGACAATTGAACAAATAAGTAATTTTACCCATTTGTTTATTGTTATTACTGAAAATGCATCCTTTTTTCCTATTAGACCTACTTTATCTTACATATTTTTTTTTCTTTTTTGCCATTTGCTTTACTCATTTTCCTCTTATGAAACTGTTGACACTGCATGTCTTTATCAGAATTTGACTTATCTTATTTCATGTATTTTTTTATTTCTCCTCACTCATTTTTATTATTAACTTTTTTTATCATTGATATTGCTTTTTCTTCTAATTTTATTTACATATTTATTATTCACTTCATTTATTTTTCTATTGTTATTGACATTTCATGTTCTTTCTTATATAATTTTGCACGTTATTTCTTTTTTACTCATTTTACTCATTTTTTTAATTGTTATTACTAAGTTACGCTACTCCTTTCTTAATTTGACTTACCTTATTTTGCATACCATTATTCTTCCTTTACTCATTTTTCTGCTTTTATTACTGCATGTTTTTTTTTCTTTTTAATTTAGACTTGTTTTATTTTACATGCCTTTTTTTTTCAATTGACTTTTCTCATTTTTATTACTAATATTGTTTGATTTGTCTCATAATTTTACTTATTTTATTTGCATGTTTCTTACTAACTCCGTCCATTTTTCTATTCCCATTACCGACTAACAGTGCACGCTTTTTTCCTATTCAATTTTGCATGTTTTTTACTCGCTTTACTCATTTTTCTATTGTTATTACTAAGTAACATTACATTCTTAATTTAAACTCTTTATTTTGCATGCCTTTTTTAATCATTTTACTCATTTTTCTGTCATTATTACTGACATTGCATGCTTTTTTCTTACTTTGACTTAGTTTTTTATTTCACTTTACTTCATTTTTTATTACT